CCAGTCTCTCAATCTTCTGGAAGGTTTAATTCGCTCCAAAGAAGAAGGAGGTATTTCATGTGTCGAACATCTTCATAAATTATTTGTATTTGCCCTAATGTGGAGTTTAGGAGCCCCTCTAGAATTGGAAAGCAGAGAAAAGTTTGAAGTCTTTTTACGAAATCATGAAAGCAAGTTAGACTTACCAGTAATACCTAAAGGCACGAATCAAACTATGTATGAATTTTTTGTTACTGATTATGGTAAGTACACTGAATTATATCTTAAATGAAATGACTTTTTTTTTAAATGGAAAAAAGTATAAACGTCCATAAACTCTCTTATGGGCGAATATTAAACCAATTATGGTAACAGAATTGTTAATACCATTTTAAAAGGGCATATATTTTAAAAATAGTGGAATTTTACATATTAACTGTGCCAGGAACTGGTATAGATACTCCTGAATTCTCCTCTTTTTAGAATGGCCTCGGTAACTAAAATCTCACATAAATAAATTAGTAATACCTCTTACATCATCTACTTTCTCGTGCTTGAAGAAGAAAGGTAGCAGCATAGAGAACATGGATTCTCAAGACAAAGTTCACAGATCAGTCCCACAGCTTCCCTGTTGGAAATGCCAGAATGAGTAGATGGTGGACCAAGCGGGTTGGTCCCTACTTCCATATAGCAGATTCCTCAAGGTCCAGCGCTGTCACCTTCGCCCCCAGCCATCTGTGTATGACAGGGCTCAGCTCACCTGAGCCCTTGAACTCGGTACTTTTATCAGGAGCCATGGCCCCAATTTTTCTAAGTCCCAGAGAGGAAAAAACTTGCTTCCCAAAAGCCATACTTACCTCTATTTCTTGCTGAAAACACTAAAACAGTAAAGGTTTTGTTGTTGTTTATCAAAAGGATAAATAGAGCAGGAGAGTAGACAGCAATAACAAAATTTTAAAAGCAAAAGAAAACAGAAAGTTAAGTAACAGTTGATTTAGCACACCGGGTAAAGGTGAGTCCTAAACTGGCAGTGGGGAGAATTGAGAAGCAACTCAGTGTCCATCACAGAACCTTCGAAGGGCTCAGGAAGGGGATACTGGGGCAGAGGGGGAGCTAAAAACCAGAGGGCTGGTTGTGAGTTTTTTTAAGGCAAAGCCCTCCTGCTGGCCTGCCACACCTGCCCCACACTGGCAAAAGACTGAGGAGTTATTGTTCAGAGAGTGTAAGACAGAGGGTCTCCTAGACTTGGGGTCAGCAGGCACATTCCATGGTGGTGGGAGAATCATACTGAAAATGGAGATTAAGTGAAAGTCAGTTTTTGAAAGGGCGTTTATGAAGGGACTGAGATAAATGAATGTTTTCAGCTGGCCATCTTTTAACCAGGATGACCAATAATTCTACAGCAGGTCATTAGCTGCTACTAACGGCTCAAGATGACAAAAGGGAACTCTAACTCAAAATGTAAACAATTAAATAAATCCTTAGATCCAGATAGGAATTCTCTTAGAATCCAGAGCCAAGCCTCTCCACAGAGCTGCCTTCGGAGCAACCCAGAGTGGTATCATGATGGAAGGTTCAAATCGCCTCCCGCTGAGCAGGTTGTCCTCACTCAGAGGTCCGGCCCCCTGTTCCTCAGAGAGTGCAAGTCCGTCAGCAGCAGTTTTCCGACCGTGACGAAGCCCTGGTTAGGGGATTGAGATGGCACCTAGTAATGATGCCAATAAAATAACGACCCTTCGTGCCATCAGAAGTATATGTTGCTACATTTCTTAAAAGAATGGTCCACTGAAGTTTCTGGCATTTTCTTCCAAGTAGCTTGCACTGACTCTATAAGTTTAGTTGATGGTGTTTTCTTGTTTTTAATGGAGATGTCAACATTCCTTCATCAAGGGGGACCTGGAATGGTGTGTGGATTAAAAAATATTGAGAGGTCGCAGGCATCCAGTCTTGCCACCCTAAATAACTACTTTTGATGAAATTAATTCTTCTGAGCAGTGAACCGAGACATTACGTATTTTGTGATTATATAGGGCTCTAACATACCTACTCCAGATGACTTGTAACCAGTCCTTCCTTAGCTCATACTCCTTCATCCATCCTTTATTTTATTTCATTTTATTTTCCGGTATGGATATTAGCATCTTTGGAGAAGACTTCGTTATTAGATTTAAAATTAAATAGGAAGACATGCTGGGGTAATAGGGACTGGGTTTAACTTATTACCTTAGAAAGCTATAAAACTGGATAAAATGTATG